CAGGAGTGTTCTGCTTCAGTGCAGGATCCAATGCTAACGGAGCAGGATCCAGTGCTAACGGAGCAGGATCCAGTGCTAACGGAGCAGGATCCAGTGCTAACGGAGCAGGATCCAGTGCTAAGTCTGCGGAGTTGGATTGCCGAGGGACTTGGATAGGTGGATCTTGACCCTTCTTAGATTGAGCAGGGAGATCTTGCTCCATGAAAGCTGGTTTAAGTCTCTCAACACTGACAGATTCACGTTTACCATTGTAATCAATTATTGATTACAATAGTAAAAAACTTGTCAGAGCGTTGAAGGACTCGAAAAGGCCCCCTGTAAGGAGGTTGAAGGGGCCCCTTGCACTGCATCAACCCTCAAAAAGACGTGGGATGAGGAATGCAACTCTGGGTGTACCTGTGTAGGGGTAGCTCGTTGTTTGCGAGTAGGGGTGGGATGTAATTCACGCATCAGTCTCTTCAGTCTGTGGGCGTAATTAGCTGGATCGCCAGCAGAGTCAGTCTGCGAAGGAGACACAAATTGGGCCGGTAGCATGACCGTAGTACCAAAAACGAGTTCTGCTGCGGAACATCCCAGATCAGACTTGATAGCTGTACGTATACCCAGCAATACCAAGGGAAGGACCTCAGTCCAACGGACTGTGTTATGCGCCTTGAGAGAGGCTTTGAGTTGCCTGTGAAAACGCTCAACAAGCCCATTGGCTGCTGGATGGTATGCTGTTGTGCGGATGCGTTTAGTGCCAAGAAGATTAGTGAGAGCAAGGAAGAGTGCTGACTCAAATTGTCTACCCCTGTCTGTAGTAAGAGTAGTTGGAGCACCAAACACCGCTACCCATCTGGCCACAAAAGTACGTGCTACAGTATCCCCAGTGATACCTGGGATAGGTATAGCTTCTGGCCATCTGGCGTAACGATCCACACAAGTAAGAAGGTATGTGTTACCCTCTGAAGTAGGAAGTGGGCCTACAAGATCGATGTGCACATGAGAGAAACGCGCATCAGGTGAGGTAAAAGTGCCAAGTGGAACTTTTGTGTGCTTATGCACCTTGCATCTCTGGCATTCAAGACATGTTCTGGCCCATTTCCTGATATCATGATTAATACCAGGCCAAACGAAACGTTCCGTGATGAGCTTTTGAGTGGCCCTGATCCCAGGATAGTCCGTGGAGGGCGTCAAAAATAGCTCGTCTGTGTTTGACTGGAACAAGGGGTCTAGCAACACCTGTCGAAACATCACATAGCATGGTAGTAAGAGAACCAGGAAGCGATATAGACTTGAGCTGAAGCGAGGAGTCCTGTACCTCACTATCATCCTCTTGATCTTTCGCAATGGCTGCAAAATCTATGACCGAGGATGAATCAACTCTGTCGATACACAGACGGGAGAGAGCGTCTGCTGCTGTGTTCTCCCTTCCTGCTATGTGGTGTATCTCAGATGTGTATTGGGATATGAAATCAAGCTGGCGGATTTCACGAGGTGAGTGTCGGTCAGGCTTTGAATTCAAAGCATGGGTGAGAGGTTTGTGATCCGTGTAGATGGTAAATGTGCGACCTTCAAGTAGATGTCGAAAGTGCTTTACACCGAGGTAGGCTGCTAACAGTTCCCGACCGAAAGTGCTGTACTTAGTCTCGGCAGGCTGTAGTCTCTTAGAAAAGAAAGCCAACGGTTGCCAAATACCATCTACCAGCTGTTGAATAGTTCCCCCAACTCCCACATCAGATGCATCAACCAACAGGCATAGAGGAACATCAATTCTAGGATGAACTAAAACTGCAGCGTTAGCTAACTGATCTTTAGCCTGATTGAAAGCAGAAAGTTCTTGTTCACCTAGGGTGATTGGTTGGTTCTTCTTCAATCTATTTTTCAACAGATCTGTGAGAGGCTGGAGTACTTCTGCACACCGCGGAATGAACCGTCTGTAGAAATTGATCAGCCCGAGGAACTCTCGTAGTTTGGTAAGTGATGTAGGTATCGGAAAATCACGGATGATCTTCACCTTGTCACTAAGTGGCTGTATTCCTTCCGAGTCAACTTTATGCCCTAGAAAGGACAGTAAAGGTACTCCGAACTGACACTTAGCGGGGTTGAGAATGATTCCATACTCTTGCTGCAGGCGGTCAAAGAGTAAACGGAGATGTGTCTCGTGTTCGTCTTTGGTAGTACTAGCTACAAGAATATCGTCTAGATAAACATAGACGAAAGGAAGACCGCGAGTGACATCATCCATCAATCTTTGGAATGTCTGAGCTGCATTGCGAAGGCCAAACGGCATCCTAACAAACTCGAATAATCCAAAAGGGGTGGTTATAGCTGTCTTGTGGATATCGCTAGGCTCGACTGGGATCTGATGATATGCCCTGATGAGATCAATCTTGGAAAAGATTGTCTTGCCACTAAGTGACGCTGAGAAATCTTGCAAATGAGGAATAGGGTATCTATCAGGAATAGTACGAGCATTAAGCATGCGATAATCTCCACAGGGTCGCCAGTCCCCTGGTGTCTTCTTCGGAACCATGTGCAAGGGACTTGACCAGTTGCTATCAGATTGTCTGATAATGCCGAGTTCAAGCATGTGTTCAAACTCTGCCTTGGCAATCTGCTGCCGATCTGGAGCAAGCCGACGAGGGCGAGCTGAAGCAGGTGGGCCTCGAGTTTGGATATGGTGGGTGGTTGTATGCTTGACTTCTGAGTGCTTGTACACTGGCCGGGTGATGTCAGAATACTCACGAAGAAGGGAGTGGAAACGCTCCGAAGTATCTTGCTTGACATACACCGGGCTAATGATGCCTGTGTATGTACCGACTCCCTGTACTGTAAGAGTGGTGGTGGTGTCTATCAGCCGTCGATGTTTGATGTCGACTAATAGTCCATATAGTTATCAAGGAAATCGGCTCCCAAGATAGGTGTAGGTATGTCCGTGACAACAAAAATCCAACGAAAAACTCGCCGCAACCCAAGATCAAGAGTGAAAGATCTCTGGCCAAAAGTCTTAATGGGTGACTTGTTAACAGCTTGAAGTTGGATATTTGTTGCACTTACCATTGCCGATTTTCCTAACATGGAATGAGGGAAAATACTAACTTCGGCCCCAGTATCAACAAGAAAACGCGTGCCTGATTGTTTATCATGAACAAAGAAAAGGCGACTGGGTTGAATGGTGCCAAGTGAATTAGTCGCCGCTATTCCTTGGCGGGCCCGTTTCCCTGGACATATCCAGGGCGGCTTTGTCCTGCTGAGTATGAACAAGGACTTATGCACTTCTGGGCTCGTTTGCCATGCTTCCAGTGGTACCAACATTCAGCCCCAGCATGTTGTTGATGCCGACTCGGGCTACGGGAAGCTGATTGGCGAGGGCCGGAATTCTTCGGGCCTCGCTGTCGACTGCGACTTCTGCAGTCCTCCTGTATAGAACAAGTCAAGGCTTGCACCTGAGCAGCCAGTTGAGCAACCTGGGTAGAAAGTCGATGTACTTCACCAGAGTCATTGGGAGTAGCGCAAGCGTAAGTCTGCGCTGGCACTTCTTTAGGTAAGACATGAGAAATAGTAGGCGGACCAGCAACTTCAACAATTTTGTCGGCTAATGCCGCTAGCGCAACCAAGCTGACATCATCGCTTGTGGAAGCGAGAATCAACTGTACATTGGTTGGCAGGCGTTGCAAAAATAATTGCTTAAGTATACTAGTTTCCAAAGTATTAGAGCCTAATAATTGTTGCATTCTCCTAAGGAGTTGGGAGGGCGACCTATCGCCTAACTCTTCACTCGTCAGCAATTTGTTCAGACGCTTTTGCTCAGAGACAGAAGTTCGCTTAACCAGTGCTGCTTTTAGTATCTTGTACGGCTCTGTTTGGGGAGGGGCAATTAAAATATCGCGCACCTCTAGAGCTACCTCTGGTTGTAATGAGGCGACAACATAAGCAAACTTTGTAGACTCAACTGAGACACCTCTAGTTTGAAACTGAGCCTCAACCTGAGCAAACCAAATATCAGGATCATGTGCCCAAAATGGTGGAAGCTTTAAACTAACATATGAGACTTGAGGGGATGGCTCAGAAGCCTCACTAGGTAATACATTGCTATCAGTATCAGATATAATGACGATGACAAGGTAGATTAGATCAACAGAAGAAAACAAATCTGGATCACGTCGGGGTCACCAGTTTAGGGAATTCAATCACCTAAATAAAAGAAATAGAAATAGATTTCTTTCCTACCTTGTCTCGTAGAAACACCTGTTGAGTACAGATACTTGGAACATATATTATATCACAAGTAGTAGTTCAAATATTGCACAGCACCCGTAGAAAGAATATGTAAGACCATGTACAAAGTAATGACGCTTCTTCGCGAATTAAGTAAAGAAGAAGAAACTTATAATCTCTATAAAGTAATAAGGCCTCAGAACCGAGTAGAGAAACAAGCGAAGAAATAGGACAAGAATTAAGATGAAGCTGAATTAGCTTTGCTGTAGATAGACTCTCTAGAATACGTGTGCTCTATATGAACAGCTCAGGAGAAGTTAGTAGGTGTGGCAAATAAAGCAAGCAAGTGTAATGTCCCTGTACAGTATAAGCTATACCAGTACATTAGGTGGTTGCACATCCCAACCCATAGGGTATGGAATGTGCTTGCCAGAGTAAGTATTTGTGGCACTCTAGTAATGCAACAGGTGTCACTAAAGAAATCAGTAACAATGGAATAAAAGGCTAGACTTCAAGCCACACAATAAAGACAAGACAATAATATTTACAAATGCAAAGTTCTCCAAAGGTCAAGTCACTACAGATCTTATCGGTCTGTAAATATTACTAGTTTTACTTATTAATTGTGTACATTTCTGTCGTGGACCCCACTAGAATTAAGCTCTCGAGCTTTCGTGTGTTATCCTGTTCAGGCTGACTTAATTTTGATCTGTTATTCTTGTATATTGTTGTATGTTGGAAGTTTGGCAAATAAAAATCAATCAATCAATCAACCCTCCACGTTTTGCTTTCCATACACCAACGAGCTGAATCCGTCGATAGTCGCGAGCCGCGTCGCAGACATTTCTTGGACAGTTTCTGCAGATGTTCGTCTGAAATTACGATAAAGAGAATATGCCTTACGCCAACCAGCCAACGATACAGCTTACGGAGCTCACAGATGACAATGTAAAATTCATAATCGAAGACACTGATCTCAGGTAAAGCCTCTCAAATTAAATTTTCGGGGTTAGACTTGTCGAAAAGACAATGACCAAATTGAAACGGTGCAAGAAATTTGTTTAGAAAAAGAAGAACACAATTCAATTGATGGAAACTCGCTGTTTTTTACCGGTCACGATTCTTCATGTGTGTGCTTCATATTTACTTGTGCTTTCAGCTACGGATTTTACTATGTCCATCATTTGGCGCTAGTGTACTTTCGTATCCATTTTTGACCCGTACCCGTAACTCTGGTGTGGAGTCTACCCCACTAAAACATACCAAAACATAGATCTAGACTCTACCACAAATGGCAAAAAATCAACTTGATCTTCATCAATTGTTCATTAAAAATAATTGGTCATGATATAAAGTCGTTATAGACTCTATCTAGACTAACCCCTTTCATGTCAATTTTCTTTTCTTTTTTGGAGTATTTCTTCCTAAAAACGAAGACATTATAATTTCACTTTCTCACAGGTTTCACGGCAAACCGTTGTGCAATTGCATCCTGTATCATACCGACGAAGGGTGTGGGCACGCCTGCGTGCGTGAAGTTATTGACTGTATTAATTGAATTCATGCACGCTCGCGCGCCTGCAACCTAGCCCTTGGCCTTTTGCCTGTCGGTACGGTACGGTATGCAATTGTATAGTAATTGTGCAGCATCCTTAAATACTCTCTATAATTTTATATTATCAATAAAGAAAACAATCAGTGGATTGTGAGGCAATGACGTCAAAAGACTCATGTCATGAGTGAGTTGCCAATTTTTGAATTTGTCTTGTGATTTTCAAAGTTTTTCATGTCATTAAAGGTATAGTTGAGTATTGGTAATTTCCAAAGTGCCCCTCCAAAACAAATTTGGTTTATTTCAGTACCATATGAAAGATCATCGAAAAAAACATGGGAGATGATAATAATTCCAAATCAAATGCTCTAATTGTTGTGCAATTTGCTTTCAAAACATTATATAAAAGTGTTTGACGTCCGGACATCACTTTTGACTTTCGACGGTTTATTTTTTGAATTTACGTGTTTAGCTCCCTCTATGTCATTTAACAACCAGCGTATTTACAACGAGTGTTTGAGTTCGTTGGTACGTACAGTACAGTACTAGTAGCTAGCAGGCGGGTATCCGACCGCGCGCTAGTAATACAGTACAGCTGATCAATTCCAATACGCTGCTTTCACGTAAAGTATAACACACACAGTACAGCTCAGATCAGATTATCACCGGCGCCGATCGAACGCTAGACAGCTACAGACAAGCTTTGATTGAAATACGATAACGAGATCGAAAAGGAGCTCGAGGTCACGGACGATGGCCGACTCGGACTCAGCTAGTGCTAAGCCTAAGGACAAGGCTAAGGCTACGCTAAATCGGAATAAGACTAAGTAAGACGGTAAGAGGAAGGAGAGAAACAAGCAATGGCAGCTCGACCATCCGGACCAGAGGAGGCGCGGGAGTGGCTGTGAACAAGGCCAGGGTACGGCGGAGAAACTTCGCGAGCTGCAGGCGGCCTTCTCGTTGCCGAGTCTAGAGGATGCAATAGACATGCCAGCTCACTGAGAGGTAAGTTGAAATGATATAGAGTCTACGCCCCACTGCATTGGGTAGGCCTACCGTTTTAATTTGATCTAGTCTAGAGACTAGATGCATGGAATCGGCAAATTTAAGAAATTACGTTTTGTTATCTCTTGCCTTGGATTTTTAATTCAGATTTCATGAATCATATGATATTGATAGTCTAGCCTAGGTCTACAGTAGACCGAAAGCTTCAGTCTCTATATCGTCGGTTGTTCCACTGAGACTACGTCTGGCTCCACTAGACCTCCGGATGAATTTGGTTCAAATGAAAATATTGGAAGCATAGTCTATGCGATCCTACAATATTCAGTGAACGTTGTCGCGTTGAAATCGAGTCTAAAGTGATGAAATTGTAAATAATAATCTCTTTATGGGGTATACTATAACTCTCTCTCAAGGTCAATATATTAATTCAGCTATACAACAAGCTACAATTGACCGATTGGCTATTACCTTTTTGAAATTATATATCACAACTACATATTCCGGGATTTTTATGGTAGCAGCTACCGTTGTACGACCGTAGGCGCTATTTTAAATTTATCAAAATTTACCGGGAGCAACGGTAAATTTTTATATTCAATTTTTTTCGAAAGCAGAAGTGTTTTAGGAGCTAAATTTTCTAGTGCTTATAATACTTCCACAGGGGCATCCAAATATATCAAAATTGTAAAGAATCACTATCCACCCAATTTTCAAAATTTCCCAAAACTTTGTAATAGACCCTACCTTTAATGTCCCTCGTTACAACTGCAGTTTTCTTTGTAATGATGACGTGCAGGGCTAGTCAACCGGGTAAACATCCTGCTCTTTTTAAAAGTCGACAAGGTTATACTATAGCTTGCTTGAGATGTGACTGTCTCATCTATATTTATCTCTACCAAAGAGTGTCTCAACTTCACATACATGACAGAGAACCAATGCATCAGTTATTAGTCATGCAAATTCCAAATCTGGCTAGCTGTGATAATTATTAGAGAATGCCATCTTCAAAATAATTTCTTTTGGTGATTTAAAATCTGAATGTTTTTTACTTTGTGAATGACTTTCGTTTCTTCACCTTTTACAGATATGAAGAACAGACAACACAATCCATCCCCAGCGAAGAAATTCCAAGCAGCAGTAGGGGAATTAGCAGGTGAATAGTACAAGTCACCTTTGACCGCAAATTCATGGAGAACTTGGCCTACTCTGCTGATTTGCTCGCTTCAGGTAGGATTCTGTATACATGTACGAAAGGCTCTGTAAATTGAGAGGAATTTAATGAGAATGCGTTCATTACGTACATGTTTGCAAGATTGAGCTCTTTTTCGGTTATGACCTATAAAATTGGGACATATCAGCAGGTCAAGATAATGCATCTTATTTGCTCATGTGTATGACATGGGATTTTCAATATTGATTTTGTGGTATGAAAATAATGAAATGCTCTATCATTTATATCAGTTTTTATTTTGTTTTCATAATTCCTTAGGCACACCAGCATGCTCGAGTGTTTCCACAACCATATACTGATGTATGCTTCCAAGCGGTATTCCTTTGAGTAAGTATTTTTAGTATCATTTTGTATGTTTGAAGTAAGATTGTGGAAAAGTTGAAACATATCATTACAGTACGGTTACAGTTACAATATCATATTTTGAAGCAAATAGCAAAGTTAATGAGAAATTATGAATGACATCTATATAAATGCTGAAATCACTTTTGGATGCATGCAGAGTCTTGAAACAGCAGACTTTGTATCGTACTTGTGTCGGTACCTGATGTTAAGTCAAGTTGGAGTGGTTGTAGCAGGGAAATGTAACTACCTTTAATTAAGAGTCAATAATTTACAACACAAATCCAGAACTGAAGTGAATGGCTCGTATTCACAAAGGAGGTTTGTGCAAACCATGGTTTGGCCAAGGTTTACATCTATGGAATGCCATTTGTAAACTGATGGAGAAGGAATGTAAACTCCATACTTGTTAACAATGTTAATTTACAATTTACGGTATGCGAGCAGCATTCCATAGATGTAAACCATCGTCAAACCATGGTTTGTACAAACCTCCTACAAACCTCCTTTGTGACTACGGGCCAATGAGTCTGAGATTTGTCTAAAGCATTTACTATTCATTCATCATGGTAGTGGTAATACCAATTGTTTGTCTTATCCATCCAGCTACCCAGCAAACCGGGCAAGGAATTTGCTTGCGGTCATCGACTACATGGCACACAAGGACAGGCCCGACCAGATTGATGAACAAGGCAATACAAAGTGAGTGGAAATTAGAAAGAAAGAAAAAAAGGTTTTCTTTTCTTTCTTGTTTTTCCTATTTTTATTTGTACATTTTTTTTTAGATGGACAAGGCAATCCAAAGTGGGTGGAGTAAAAAAAAAAACATGATTTTTTGTTTTCCCTGTGTAGTTGGACAGGGCAATCCGAATTGGCAGTTCTTTCCCATGAAATTTATCAATTTTGGGGAAATTATTAAATATCTAATTGTCCTTCCTGGGAACGCCCCTTTTAAATCGCCAAAATATGACGTCATCTAAAGAAGTTGTCCCTGTACACGACGCACATCTAAATTATGTAGATGACGGACTGTAAGCTGATGGTTTGTCAATCATGCTGCTGATTTTGGACCCTAAATGCGGACTTGGATTCAGTGTAATAATATACTTGGTGTGTAATGCAAGGTTCTGGAGTCATCAAAATCATCATAAATTTGGCAGAGTTTTGGTAAAGTAACAATCACTTACACAGAAAGATGTTTATGGGACAACACACATGGTGTCGGCCTGTCGGGGCTAGTACTACCCTCATTTCCTTATCTTTCTATGCTCATTACTCAGCCAGTATACATTTTCTTCCAAAATTGTTTGGCACATGACATTTATTTGTAATCTTGAACATTCAGTGTAAGTTTCGTTAGATTCTGTGAGAATTCATTTTCTTTTTTTACCAGAACTCAAGTTTATCTTTAAGAGATATGAATCATTTCCAATTGACAAGAATGAGTGTGCATATAATGCAACTTGTTACATTTTGCATGTTCTTTTATTTTATGATACAGATATGTTGCAGTATGGTCAAAGCGTGCCAACAACTACGTGGCCCGGAAGGAGAAGGTCCCCAAGACCTACCCCTACATGTATGTACAAGGACTCATCGGTGCGATACTGGAACGCAGAGAACAGGACCAAGGACCACTGTTCTCGAAGGCTGTTCTGCTCCCTGATGACCCTAGACACACAAGGCCCCGGCTTGCACCATTTCCTCCACCACAAGTTGATGTGATCCTAGCCAGGAGACTAGGCCGATTAGAGAAATCCATGTAATCCTCTGTAGTGAACATTTGGGATTGTCTGACTTGAGAACTGCTTTTTTTCGAGCAGAGACTAAGGGATCCAAATGGCGTCCTT